TTTTCTGCGGCTCATAAAGCATTCAATGCCAGGGCAACATAGTTGTACTTACATAGTCTTGCAGACACAACCAGCCATTTGAAGGCAACCGTAAGGCTGATGTGGCCCTTGGTGTAAATGAGTTTGACACCCCTGCTGGAAGCACATAAAGGAATATGGGCAGGAAGCAGATAAAGCAGTAATCATTACAAAAAATGGCATCCAGTCATCTGTATAGAAGATTAAGTGTGAAGACACAGGTCTGCAGTCTGGAGGTCCTCCTGGACACATTGCCAAGCCTTGAGGCCCAGGTGTCAGCCGTGGCCAGGAGGGCCTTCTCACACTTGTTCACCAGTGGCCGCTCCAACCCTTTGGAACTCTCTTCCCAAGGAGGTTAAAACTGCTCCCTCCATGACATCTTTTAAAAAGCAGCTGAAAACCTTCCTGCTCTCACAAGTTTTTAATGAAGGTATTTAGTTGGAGCGACAAGAAAGCTAACGTTCAGTGAGTCATGCTAAGCTTCCCACCTATATCAATGAGTTTCCCGCAATAACTGTATTTGATAAATATTTTTTTTTTGTAGACGTGGTTTTATAGGTTATTGTTATATGTATGTTTGATCTGTATTGTTTTTAAAATGTGGTGAGCTGCTTTAGGTCCCATTTAGGGAGAAAAGCAGGATACAAATAAAGATTTATTATTATTATTATTATTATTATTATTAGGGAGCGAAAGTCAAAAATTGTTTGTATATAATATGTATGTGCCTCTGAAAATATGGCTATTCAGTACGCAAAGTTCTTTCATGCTTTGTTTTGTTTTGTTTTCAAAACATTTCGATGCCAGTCGCAAGAGCTCTCTAAGACACAACAAGTGAAAGATAGGAACAATAGCCTCGATACAATATAAAGCTGTCAAAATGAAAACTTCAATCAGTATAGTATAGTTGTATAGGTAGAAGATGTAAATCAGAAATACAATGCTCTAAAATGTGTTAACACTTTATTAAATCTTGTGATCTCTTAAAACCATGCAAAAGATTGAAGACCCAAATGAGTTCATTGCCAATTATTGATATCCAGTAGGTTTTGAAGTGTATTGGTGCTGAGTAGTGACAACCTGATGTTTCGGGATTTAATGAATGGAATTGTGACTGAGGATGAAGAAGAATTTATTTATTTATTTATTTATTTATTTATTTATTTATTTATTTATTTATTTGCTATATTTATATACCGCCCCTTTCAGCCCACAGGCGACTTGAGAATGAATGCAGATTGACACCTTTTTAACTGCCCTGGCTCAGTGTTTTGGAAACCTGGGATTTATACTTTAGTAAAGCACCAGCACTTTTAAGATAAAGACCTTGTAAAATGACAACTCCCATCATTCCGTAGCATTGAGCCATGGCAGTTAAAGTGATGTCAAATTATATTTATTCTACATACACCTTGGCATTACACCTATTATAACAAAGTCTCATGGTGAATCTCCTATCCCAAGAATCAATGCAACGCAAGAAAATTCAGCACACGTATATTTAGATATGTCCAAATTATTAACAGATCCTGCCTTTAAAAATATTCCCTTATTCAATGCAGATATATCAAGTAGAAGGCATGTGTGATGAAGATATTCCAGAAGAATCAGACTGTGGCCGCATGGCTAGGACTCCCACTCCACCCACCTTGTCACCACCAGCTATAACCAGAGAGGATCTTAACTATGATGAGTCTTTTTCAGGTAAGGAGTGTTAAAATACATAGATGCTGTGGAAGATTTCTGTTTCCTACTCCTCTTTTTTTAAAAACCCTTAAGGCCTGAAGGCTGTGCTGCAAGGTAAAGAGAAAGTCTGACCCAACTGAATGGTTTTTGGTGTTCAGCAAATTACTTAAGCTGTTAAGGGCATCACTCTTTTTACCTTGAAGGACTAGGACAGATTACACCGCAGGGAACAGAGCACATCTGACCTCATTGTATTAGAGAAATGCATCATCTTAAAAGCACAAGATAAAATGGATTCATAGACAGAGAAGGGGATTGTTGTAGTTCGGCCCATGGTTGCGGCTGATACCAATGTAAATGGGAAGTGGATCATGGGAATACTGGGCCTGTGAGCCAGCATGAGATTTTAAGTCCTGAAAATGATCAGTCTTTGTCTTCAGCAATTAGTGAAGGTCACATTTCAGAGAAGTGTTGAGATGGTGCACAAGAGTCGTTCTCTAGGAAAACAAGTTCAGAGGCTAAAATCCCAGGTGGAGAGATTTTTTTTTTTGCAAGATAATAAGCTGGTTGATAGGAGACTCTGTTTTTGTAAACTTCGTGCTTCTCAACAGAATCTCTGAAGTTCACAGTGCTTGTTAGAGAAGAGAAGTCATGGGAGAAGGCCATGATTTCATGTGTACATTAAAGAGGCCAGGGGGATTTTCCAGCCTCTTTGGTCAGCGTTGGTAATTAAGGCAACAGCTCTTTCCTAGTCCTAGTCAAGCTTTCTTGGGGAATTCTAGTTCCATGTCTTTGCTCCTGTTTCATGGCTTCCTGGTTTGAAGGATTGTTCCTGGATTTTTGTATTGGATTGTATGCTGCCTTGTACTGCCTGGTTTTCTTGTATTCCTGTGCTGGATGTCCTGTTGCTTTGGCATTTTGGATTATCCTTGTACCTTGAACTTTGTGGACTATTTTATACATATAGACTTTGAAGTTTTTAGTATTTTTGCTACAGTGCTTTTTATATAATCTTTAATAAACGGCTTTGCTGATTTAACTTGAACTGGAGTGTAATGGTTAAATACAGAGGGGTTTCCTGCCCTGCAGTGCAACAGGGATGTCTAATCATTAAGTCAACAAAGTCAAACCAAATCTTCGCAACTGATGCCCAAGGCTACTGGAACATGGCCATGTAGCCCGAAAAACTCACAACAACCCACTGATGACCAAGGCTTCTAGTCTGAAAGTGCATCTACAGTACACCAGCACTCTTTGCCAGGAAAAGCTAAGGATGCTGTGAAACTACAGCTCCTATGATTCCATAGCATTGAGCCACAACAGTTAGAGAGGTGTTAAACTGCACTATATTGACAGTGTAGATGAATCCCATTACTATCAAACTGTAGCACCAATCATTATGTTCCCTATGCCATTAATATATGAGCCATTGTGTTTACATAAGTTTTATTTTATTTGCTTTTACTGTTGTTGTTGTTATTATTATTGCTTATATTGTTGTATTCGGGCTCGGCCTCATGTAAGCCGCACCGAGTCCCCTGGGGAGATGGTAGCGGGGTATAAATAAAGTGTTGTTATTATTATTATTATTATTATTATTATTATTATTATTATTAAAGGCAAAGGCTTCCCCTGACATTAAGTGTAGTTGTGTCCAACTCAAGCGGGTGGTGCTAATCTCAATTTCTAAGCCGAAGAGCCAGTGTTGTCCATAGACACCTCCAAGGTCATGTGGCCAGCATGACTGCATGGAGTGCCATTATCTTCCTGCAGAAGAGGTACCTATTGATCTAGGTTGGCAGAAACTGGGGCTAACAGCGGGAGCTCACCATGCTCCCCAGATTCGAACTGCCAACCTTTTAGTCAGCAATTTCAGCAGCTCAGTGGTTTAACACGCTGAACCACCCGATGTGTTTTACATAGCAACATCAAAATTATATAAAAGGAACAGTAGTACAGAAAAAGAAGCACCTGCTACTTTTTTCTTAGTTAAAGGAATGTACACCAATTGGAATGAATGCTTTGGCTTCTATTTATTAAAATCAGAGAAGTTAGTGTGCACTCCGTGTAGCAACAGTACTTAAAGGTCTTGAAAAACTGATCAGGCAAGAAATTAAGGTGTTTGTAGTATATGGTAGATGCTCAACATTCAGTATTCGTTCCACCAACAAATCCCTTGCTATTGAAACTATACTGGCTTTAAAAAACTATCCTAGTAAATCACATTTTTGCAGCTTAAAATGAATCAAAACAATTTCCCACATTCCCCTATGTCTGTGATAACACCAGGCTTGGGAGTGTACTAGACAAATACTCAGTTGCCTTGATTGTTTGTCCATTGAAGGAATAAATACTAGTAAGAGAATTCTTCAGAGGCAAAGTTGTGAAAACAAGTACTGCTTCCTATAACTATGAAGACATTTGAGCATTACAAACACTTTTTTTTACAGAACACGAGGGACATCCCTCAATGGCATCGTCGGTCAGTGCTTCTGTTATCAAGTCCTCATCAGACCCTTCTCACGCCTCTATTGCACAGCCGCCTCTTTTGCTTCCAGCAATTTCAACAAGGAGTAACTGCACACCAGCATCTCACAGGAACCACAGCGCAGAAAGCAAACTTCCACAGGCAATTGTTAAGCCCCAAATCCTGACTCATGTTATCGAGGGGTTTGTGATCCAAGAGGGATTAGAGCCTTTTCCCGTAAGTGTAAAATGTTACGATAATGAATTTGTTTGTGTGGCATCTTTTGTTTAAGAAGGCAATATGTTGTTTGGAGATCTTGCGTTCCTGAAAGTTGTGGGTTTATTGATAGTAATGCCCATCAAAAATATATGCAGAAATGAGGCTTTTCAATTATTTGGATTTGTTGCTTACTAGTATTTTCAAGAAAACAGCCTTTTGATTAGGGTGAGGTTGTGGGTGGGATTCTGGGGAAAATTTAATTGTATTTGTTGTAATTTAACTGTATTTTACCTTAAACTTCTCACATTTCTGATTTCTTGTTTAACATCAGAATTTGGGATTTATGTAGCCTTTTGATTCAGATGAAGGAGGCAATAGGTTTAAAAGCTGTTCAAGTTTTAAGGATCTATGTTTTTCTACAGTGCCACAGTTAAATTGCACTATGAAATTCCAAAGTTATGAGATATGGATCCTCATTACCCAAAATGCTGTAGCTGGTGCCTGTCTTTATAAATTAGTGTGTTGTGTGTACCTATTCTATGCCTACATGATACATTTCATAACAAAAAGATGAATAATGTAATGTTCATTCTGTATGGCCTGCTAGGCTATGACTATTGAACAGAATGTCTTTTATCATGATCAAACCTTTCTCTTGTTAACAGGTAAGTTGTTCATCTCTTATGGTTGATCAGCCTGCAAAAAAAAGAGCCCTGGTGGAAGGACAAGTGATGAACGTCATGTGTGTTGAGCCAGAGCTACAGAACAATGCAAAACACGCAGACAATTCCTCAGACACAGAGCTGGAAGATATTGCTGACGGTCTGTGCATCTTTATTTACTTCATACTGAACAAGTATTTCCGCGTTCAGTACATGCTTTCCATATGTTCTGATGACTGGGCCTGTCCCATTTTTCAACTGAGATTTCAGATTCTGTTAGGAGTGAATAAGTTTCCAAATAGCTGCCAGTCTAAGCCACCTGTCATGTGTGGATGCCAAATTTATTTATTTACTAGCTGTCCCCTGCCACATGTTGCCGTGGCCCAGTCTGTGTATATGTGTTTTGTGTGTATATATGTGGTTATGTGCATGCATTCCAATGTATTTTCTTTCTTTCTTTCTTTTGCTTTTTAAGTCTCTTCTGCTGTGTTTTCCAGTGTTTTATGAGTGATGATTACTCATTGGCCTGATAGGGGTATCGTGTCCAAATTTGGTATCAATTCGTCCAGTGGATTTTGAGTTATGATAATTACACAAACGAACATTGCATTTTTATTTATATAGATTTACTGTATTTATATACTGCCTTTCTCACCCCTAGGGAGACTCAAGGCTATTTACAACATATTAAAAATTCAGTACCAACATACAGTACACAAAGAAATCATAATAATGAATTACTACATATAACTATGAACCCTAGTTCATAGTATACCCTAACCTGATTCAGCTGTGGTCTTACTTTATGTTGCATTATGCTGCCAAATGAGCATTATGGACTACATCAGGTGGCAGCCCTGAACTGTGGTGGTAACTGATCATGATACACACCAACATGAGGTGTATACATCAATCTTTTCTTGCTAGATTAGTCAACTGCATTTTGAGAACCATTTGTTTGTTTTATGATGACTGTAATATCTGTGCTGCAAACCCAAATTCCATTCAGTTTGGCTTGGTACTATGAAAACCAAATTGATACAGACACACTTCTTCCTTTCTCATCAACCTGGCAACAGTGAATTATGTTTGTGCTGTGAGTGTCACAATTAATGGCTGGAATCCCAGATGAGATGGCAAAGATAGGCAAGGGATTTCACTTTATATATTAAGCCAAGGTGTTTCTCTAGAGTGGTGTTTTTCACATATGAATAGCATTAAACTAATTATTGTGCAGTGTCTTCATACATTTTCTGTTCTGGTATAATATACATTTATGTTGAAGACGTGAGATGTAAAATATGCAAATAAATAAAATACAATACAGCTGAATTTCTAGTTTTATGGTCGGTTTCCACCTCATAAAAAGGCAGCATGTTGTGTCATTAAACGCCTGTGTATTTTGCAAAAGTTTTCAAATAGGTGGAATACAAAAATCACTTTTTAAGAAGAAATAATTTAAAAAGGCTGTTTTGCACACAGTGTGTACTTATTTAATTGTTTAACATATTTTTGTTCTACTCTTCAGATGAGGAAGTCACCAAGATTAGTTAAAAATTCCCTTTCCTGAGACTTATATAATCTAATAAAACCGAGCATAAAACAAAAGGGAGAAAGGAGAAGAGAATGCAAATTCCCACACTTGTTCTTCATAAAAAAGTTCCTATGATAGTCAGGAGCAGTTCTGGGCTATTCACTTCAGACCTATTTTGACTTTTCTTCATAAATTCTATAAACTTTGCAAAGTATGGATATGTTCAGACAAATATTCATGATTTACATAACTTAATAGGATCCCTAAATTCAACTGTTCTTGGAAAGTGATTTGGAATATTTTGACTTCATACACACGTCCTGATTTTAGATCACGATAGATTTTATAGGAAGTGTTTCATTTTAAATCCTGTTCTAAATGATGGTTCCTCTCACTAAATTTATATTATTCTTTTCTTTAGAAGGACTAGATGAGATGGAAACCGATGTCCTCAAGTGTGAGTTCTGTGGGAAAATGGGGTATGCAAACAAGTTCCTGCGGTCAAAGCGGTTCTGCACCATGTCGTGTGCAAAGAGATATTCTGTGCTGTAAGGAATTTTATATATTTCATAGTGTTTGTTGGTTGGGGTGGAGAAATGTGTGTATGTTTGAAGGTTGGACTGCAGCTCTGGAGATGAATTTTCAAATCCCTGCTTGGTCATGGAAACTAACTGGGTGAGTCATACTCTTTTAGCCTCAGTGGAAGGGAAAAAAGTCAACTCGCTTTGAACTAATCTTCCCATGAAAAACCCAAGATAGGTCTGTTTTAGGGCGGACATGGGCAAACATCAGCCCTCCAGGTGTTTTGGACTCCAACGCCCAATATTCCTAACAGCCTTTAAAGGAGTTAAAAGTCCAAACCACCTGAAGGGCCGACGTTTGCCCACGCCTGCATTAGGGTGACCATAATTCAGAAATGACTTGAAGACAATTGTTTTGTTTTGTTCTCAAATACTTTTACTCAGGGAGCTTAAAGATATATTTTCTTTGATTTTTTTAAAAAAAATTGAATTGGGTTGTATAAGTAAAGTACTATTTCCCCCGGTGACACAGTGGGTTAAACTGCTGAGCTGCTGAACTTGCTGACTGAAAGGTCTCCGGTTCAAATACGGGGAGCGGGGTGAGCTCCCACTGTTAGCCCCAGCTTCTGCCAACCTAGCAGTTTGAAAACATGCAAATGTGAGTAGATCAATAGGTACTGCTCTGGCGGGAAGGTAATAGTGCTTCATGCAGTCATGCTGGCCACATGACCAGGTGTCTACGGACAACGCCGGCTCTTTGGCTTAGAAATGGAGATGAGCACCACCTCCCAGAGTCAGACATGACTGAAATATCGGGGAAAACCTTTACCTTCACCTATTGTCCCCATTATATTACATCAGGGAAATAAGGAGAAAGGTATATGTAAGAGACCAAGAATTAGGAAAGAGTAGAAATTGAGCTATACTAGAAAAGAATGTAGTCTCCTTTACATGTATGTATTGATTTGCTTTCTTTAATACTATATCTTCTTTGAAATGTTACATTTTTAAAATATGTGTATTTTTAATAAGTTCTGCTTAATTCAGTAAATATAGTTAGATTTTAGTAGAGCTATTGCAGGTAATAAACTACCTTGAACTGTACTACAACTTTCCAGCTTTCCTATTTGCATGCCTTCCAACCCTTACAATCCCAGACCTTTGGCTGTGTTGGCTGAGAAGTTACAATCCAACATCTGGGCAACACCTGGAAGGCAAGAGATTTGAGGAGCTGATACATATATCTAAGTTTAAAATGTTTTATTTAAACTGAGTGTTAATGAATGCTGACAAGTGTTGGTTGGAAAAAACTCTGCCACATTTATATCCTGCCTTTTTTCTAAGATGGAATTCAAAGCTGTGTTGCTCTTTTATAGGTTTTCGTTGAGTTTTTGATGTCTCACATCGGTAAGCAAAGCTGAAGCATTTTTTTAATTCCCAGGTACAATGTCAGCTGCAGTAAGAAATTTGGGTTGTATTCAGCAGACAAAAGCAGTCGTTGGAACCGGAACTCCGAGAGCCAAAGCCTTGGACGACGTGGGCGACGGCCGGGCAGTTGCGATGGAGCTCCTAGGGAGCCCTTCCATAGACAGGTCTGTTCAATGCTAACTGAAGTCTCCTTTTATTGGAATTGTAAAGAAAAAAGGGTTATCCTTTGGTTTATCTGTACATACTGCATTTTCCAGCTTCCAATTACTTATCCATCTGCAGAAGAAGACTTGGCATCTCAAGAAGACAGTGTGCCGGTTGCCATGACCACTCGCCTGCGAAGGCAAAGTGAAAGGGAAAGAGAGCGCGAACTTAGGGAGCTCAGGATTAGAAAGACACCAGACAGCATGGATTTGTTACCCGCTGTGCAATCCGATCCATCTATATGGAGTGTCGAAGATGTTTGGGCCTTCATACGTACCTTACCTGGTATGCAGTTGGAATTTATGTGAATTTTGCTGTGAATGTTTGAGGGGCAGCCTTACTACCTTGGAGTAAAAAGTGGAACACATGAAAGCCAGTTCAGTAGTAGAGAAAGGGGGTGGTGTGACTGTTGTGCTTGTTTGTTGATTATTTTGCTTCCAGGGATCACTTTGCAGAAGAAAAGCAATTTGCAGAAACAGGGGTCATATTTAAATGCCCAGAAAACTATCAAGATCTTTGTCTCTTGCTGAAATTGCATCATGATAGGCATTATGTAAGCATCCCTAGAAAGGCATTATGAAGTCAGAGTGGCATCAGCAAGAGGACCCTTTCCCCTTGTAGCCAGGTTTCCCTTGTTACCTCAGTTTCCAAAGTACCTTCTTTGTTTGCAGGGTTTTTTAAAAAAGTTAAGCTTCTATTTACCTTAACATCTTCATTAAAAAGACCAGGAAAGCTGTTTCATGGTACATGATTGAGTGTTGTGGGATGTGAGAGAAAAGCTAATATGGCAGCCTCTTCCTATTCAACCACAGCTTGCCTTTGTGTCTCTTAAGTCTCTCCTACTTTCTTGGTCTTGCATTGGATGCCAGAAAATGAGTTTGCCTCAGCAGCTCTTGGGTTCTAGAACAAAACTTCATCCCATCTGCTTATCCATAAATCTCTTAATTGTACAATTAATCAGGAGCTTCCTCTGTGCATCACCACAGCAGCAGGAATGAAGCGGGACCAAGTCTTGTAACCCCCAGAATAAAAAAAAACCCAAGGAAACGCTGTATATTACAAATGTGGACTTAGATTAATTCTTATTCTGTGTCACCTCTGTGAAGCAAGGAGTTAGAATGAGCAATATAATCGAAGAGTGCATTAGATGTGACTATGCTGTGATAGGACCACGAGGTACAACCTCCTTGCACTTGCTCCATTCGATCTGTAGTCATATTTGGAGATATTATAATCATAGGATTGGGAGGGACCTCATGAGCCCCCAAGTCCTCCTGTTTATCTCCAGCTAAAGTATGCCTAACAGATTGCATAGCCAAACATCTGCTGACTGACCCTGCTCCTGGCAAAGCTTGAAAAATTATTTGAATAAATCCCCCCAAACTCAAGCCAGCTATATTGAAAAGGGATTGTGGAAGTTGCACATCAAAATGAGACTTCTGAGAGCACTTCCACAAGGAGGGCTGGTCCATCTCGTTCACCGAATATCACTACCCCGAGGAGCTCCCCCAGACCTTCACCAGCATGTTCCAGTGCCTGGACAAGCTGTGTAAGAACGCATTCTCCTCCATCTTCTTCAGCACCAACAATGACAGCAGCATTTTAGGCATTTGAATCTTCCGTGGGCAGGAGCTGGCTTTTCTGCTGAGTTCCGACTGGCAGATGGACTACAAATCCTACACTTGGAAGAAGCTTGACCCGGAGAGTGCCAAGTGCAAGACACTGGTGAAGAAGTACTTTCAGTGGGAAGGAGAATTCAAGCACATGAGCAAGGCCGTTAACCAGGGCAAGATCTTCACGTGATTCTGCTCCCGGGGTGGCCCCAAATGCTCCCCCCAAAATGGGCCTTGATGGGGGATGTTTTCCACGTCCTCCGCCAGTAGTAGAAACCCTGACAGGAGGAGAGAGATTGTGACGTCAAGCATGAATAAAAAACCTGGGTGTGAAAAAAAGAGACTTTTCTAAGCTCTGCCCTGGCATTCATGCATTCAACAAAAATGCATATTAGGACAGAGTCTTCAGGTGCAAATGTGTATGAAGAAAAGGTTCGGCATGGCTTTCACACAGGATTCCAGAGCAAAGACTTGGTCCCTCAAGATCAGTGGTTCTCAACCTTAGGGTCCCCGGATGTTTTGGTGTTCAACTCCCAGAAATCCTAACAGCCTAATAACCTGGCTGAGATTTCTGGGAGTTGTAGGCCAAAACATCTGGGAACCCACAGGTTGAGAACCACTGCTCAAGATGCTCATACCTTAACTAGAAGTAGGAATCGCATTACTTCATATGTTGGACTGCAAGTCCCAACAGAATGGGTCAACATAGCTGATAGTGAGGAATGCAATGAATAGGAGTGGGTAAACCAAGGATAGTCGATGCAGCCCAAAATCACCAGTAAGGTCATTTGATACCCCCACCCTTGTTAGAAAGCAAGTCTAATTGAGATACCCAACACTGAGAACAGGGTGGCTTAGCTTGTTTTCACTCTCCCTTTATGTGTTGAATGACACATTAGCACATTGAATGTTTTGAGCTGAGTAATACTTTCTGTCTCATTTGAAAGAGAACGTTAACTTTTCCTAACCAGGTAACAGAAATACCCTGTTTTAGTGCAGGCATGAGTAGGATGAACAGCTTATGTCAAGTACTGCCATGTTTCAGGTGCTATGCTGTGAATATTCCTACTAATGTGTTAATATTAAATCATCATTAAATAATGTTGCTAAAATGGCTCAACCCTCATTCCAAATTACCATTACATTTATTGAATTGTTATAACATGATCTGGTAACCATTAGTCAAAAACCTAAAATGTTTTTGGCATTTTACAATTAAAACTGAAGTATTTAACTTTGTTGTTGAAACTTTTTAAACCAATTAATAATTAAAATCTCAAGTTCTGTAATTATTTACAATATATTGATCGTTCTGTAACAATAGAAAGAGAAATCTGAAAACCGTGAGAAAATTTTCCTTCCAACCAATAGGATTACAAATGTAGATTCACAATAAATACGAATCCAATTCAAATAAACATGTTCCTCTTTTCAGCACATAAAATGATTACGTAAAGCTTGAAAAATGCCTCATCTTAGAATAATGTTTCTTATTGTATTGCAGGTTGTCAAGATATTGCTGATGAATTTCGAGCCCAGGAGATCGATGGCCAGGCTCTTCTTTTATTAAAAGAGGATCACCTTATGAGTGCAATGAATATTAAGCTAGGACCAGCACTAAAGATTTGTGCACGGATCAATTCCTTGAAGGAATCATAGTGGAAAACTAAGGCTTTAAAGCTCAGCTTCTATCAGATGACAGACTTGTGAAGTTATAAGCCGACATCTTAATGTGTGATGTGATTATTACTGCTATGTTTTGCTAAGCATTTTTTCCACAGACAGACAGTTGGAAGAGCACATTTAATGTTAATCTTCCATAACTTCCAGTACTTACCCAGCTTATCAGGAAGCATAAGCTGTTTGGGCAAATAGTTGTAGTCGAATGCAAGGCAAGCTAGAGTCAGTGGAAAGCTCTATGTAACATGTTGTGGGTGATGCTTATTCCAAAAAGCTACTTATATACCATACAAGATTTAAGGTTTTTTAGAAAATATAAGCTTGATGACCATTTTAAATTGCATTTCTATACACTTTTTTCATTTGTAGAAAGCTTTTTAAGAATATGGATTAACAGAAGAGTCCACAGAGTCTGTGGCAGCGCTGATTATGGTAAAATGCTATGCATTTAATTGTGCTCTTTGAGTTTCAATTAATCTTGAGTGTACAGGTCGAAGGGAATTTGCAGCCGATCCCCTTTTATCATAACCCTATTGCTCGCCCACCTCTGCGTTGTTTTTTTCAAGTGCAGAAGATTCTGTGGCAAAATACACATTTTTGTCAATGAAGCAAACCTCACATGTCCTACTTGTCAGCGTAGTAGCAGTCTCACATATACAAACATATTGGATGTATTTTAGTGATTTAATGGGAGCAGGAAGGCGTTTTGGAATCATAGAATCATAGAGTTGGAAGAGATCACGTGGCCATCTAGTCCAAGCCCCTGCCTTTAGGAAAAGCACAATCCAAGTACGCCTGACAGATGGCTATCGAGCCTCTGTTTAAAAGCTTCCAAGGAAGGAGCTTCCACCACACTCCAGAGCAGGGAGTTCCACTGCTGAACAGCTCTTCTTACGATCAGGAAATTCTTCCTAATGTTCAGATGGAATCTCCTTTCCTGTAGTTTGAACCCATTGCTCCGAGTACTAGTTTCCAGGGCAGCATAAAACAAGCCTGCTCCTTCTTCCTTAAGACATCCTTTCACATATTTATACATTGCTATCATGTCTCCTCTCAACCTTCTCTTCTGCAGGCTAAACATACCCAGCTATTTAAGATGCTCCTCATAGGGTATGGTCTCTAGACCTTTGATCATTGCCCACCTCTGGACACCTTGCAGCTTGTCAATATCACTTTTAAACTGCAGTGCCCTGAATTGGACACAGTGTCCCAGGTGAGGTCTAACCAAAGCATGATAGAGAAGCAGCATTACTTCTCTTGATCTAGACTCTATACTCCTTTTCATGCTGCCCAAAATCTCATTGCCTTTTTTAGCTGCTGCATCATATTGTTGGCTTGTGTTCAACTTGTTGTCCACAAAAACTCCAAGGTCTTTCTCCCCTGGACTGCTGTCGAGCCAGGCATCACCCATTCTATATCTTTGCTCATAATTGTAAAGCTGTCAGAAACTGGAATATTTATTTACAGTATTTCTATACCGCTTTTCTCACCCGGGGGAGTGGGGGACTCAAAGCGGTTTTGAGTTTGGAATAGCATGGTATTTTTCTTAAAAGAGTATCAACAAACAAATATTTTAACAGTGATTATTTTGTGTTGCTACGCACGGAAGAGGGAATTATGTTCTTACCCTTCTAGGATTTCTTACTCATAGTTCACATTGACCAAAGGAGTTAACACATGCCCATAAACTGAATAGAAACTCATCATTGATGTTCTCGTGTTCAACTCCAAATTATTAAACAATTCTAAGGCGAAAATTGGATCAACAAACATTTCTAGACTTCCTTTTCCTTCTAAATTTATTTTTTCTCCACTCCCTTTTTCCCTTACCCGATATTCTACTGTATGCTGTTAGGTACAATGTTCTTCACATATTTTCTTATATGCCAGTGTTCTCTACGAATGTTATTCATGTTATGGTGAGGCTATCAAAGTCAGTGTCACCAAAGTATTGAAAAAGATGTGTTCATTTATTTGCAGCATTTTAAAATTTTGCATTGTATACTTGGAGGCCCTGTAACCACAATTAATTTAGTATTGTTAAATGAAAAGCAGGCCCTGTTACTGAGGAATTCTCTCAAGCAAAACACATTCATGAAAGTTTTCCAAGACTAAGGAATTTTAGTTCACTGCAGTAATTTTAGTTCACTGCAGTAAGTGCTTAAACTAAAGAAAGTTACCAGTTATATGTGAATCTTCCACAAGAGATATCTGTATTTATTTCAGACATATGTAGGTTTCAGTAATATTAACTCTGTTTTCCCCCCTTAGAAACTATTAAATTATCGCCAAACTTTTAGGCACTATGGCCATTACCCAACTGGTGTTCTACTGATGGAACCAATCTATCACTGGAATGAAGACAGGGATATTTTTCACGTTCCCTTTCCCTGGAACAATTTCCCATGTCCTTCCAAAATATTATCTTTATCTAAACGCTAAGCACAAGTGTAAACAAAACATAATTGTGTCTCTGCTTTGAATAGAGGCCAGGAAAAATCCCAAAAATCGACTAAGTTCTTGCCCTGGTAAGAAAGACCAGCATTCTCTGTCAGCTGCTTAGTTAAGTATATTTAATAAATAGCTGAAGGAGATGTCATTGACCCATGTTTTAAGCATCAGCACATCCCTTCTTCCCATGAAAATGATGCCTGGTCACATAGGATCAAGTAATAGCCATGGCAATAGTGTCACAATTGTTTCAATTATAAATATGGCACAGTTACCTAAACTCATCTATAATTGTTCTGTATTCACAATCATTTCTTTGTCACAATTGTGACACTGTTGGCACAGTCATAACCACCCCAGAGCTGCTTTCGTGTCAAGCAGATTTTCATGTGGGGAGAGGGCTTCCTGTTTTGTGCTTCTGAAGAAACGGAAGACACAAAAGAAACAGTAGAAACAGTTTCATGCACATGTCTAGTAGACAGGCCAGGAGACACCTTAGCCATTTGAGTAACTGGATCAGTAAAAAGCACAATGTAGGAGTTGAATGCCAAAACACCTGGAGGGCCAAAATTTGCCCATGCCTAACTTAAGGTCTTAAGGGAGAGCTGCCAAAGAAATAAGCAAAGCAGATATGTGAGTGTATGTGTAAATTATCAAGAATTACTAGTTAAGTATACTTAACTAGTAATTCTTGATAATTTACACATATAACTGATAGAGAAGATTGGCCAAGGTTTTTGTTTCATTTCTGCATTGATATCTCTCAGAATTTATTATTAAAGATAGTTTTGAATTTAAGGATTTTTTTCCAGAAAGGTTCCTAGTCCATCGACATGAAATATTGTGGGCCTTACAATCCTAGGGAGAGCCACCAAACCAGTAAGCAAAGTAAATCTGTCAGCATACATGTAAATAATTAATTGAGAATTACAATATATTACATCAGCATCTTATTTTTCCTGTTGATATGTTCTTCCACATATTGCAAGTACGTGCTGTAGAATGTAAAGTGGTCATCAATCTGTATGAACTGATTTGTAGCCTAACAAGTATTTGTGAGCCATTAGTTGTAAACAGAAAAGATTAATGAAGGGCCTTTTTGCCAAAACACAATTGGAAGACTTTGGAATTAAGAATATATTTTTGCTACCAGGGCGGTTGGGGGGTTAATTAATGGTTGTGTCCTATCTGCATGAAATTAAACAGAAAGAGTATACGTTCATAAAGTCCCATTGAGAGACATTTAGGCAGCAAATGGAGATGAGGTCTATTTGGATTCTTAGTAAATAAGTTTGTGGCTTCAATTCAACTAAACTGAAGTATGTTAGTTTGACTGAGAAGCACATTAGGCTAATTTTGTTTTTTAGGTTTTCATCTTCACAATAGAATGATAAACACATTACAATGTTTCCAAATATACCTTTTACGAACTGCACAATATATAGAGAGTGATTTCCTGAAGAGGACTAGATTGTTATGTAGTGTTTGGGGGCTTTGCACCTTTGAAGCTGAAGAGTAAAGGCAGAAGCACAACTGTCCTGGACAGAAATATTTGTCTCAGTTCTTGTGGGTTTTTTCGGGCTATATGGCCATGTTCTAGAGGCATTTCTCCTGACGTTTTGCCTGCATCTATGGCAAGCATCCTCAGAGGTGACCCACAAGAACTGAGTGATTCCAGCCATGAAAGCCTTCGACAATACAGAAATATTTGGCGTTCCATCTCTCCTCCATCAAGAAACTAATTTTGATTGAGAAGATATATATGACGGTACAAAATGTGCAATTACTAGAATAACTAGAATCCCCAAGTATTTCTGATATTCTACCATAGAGTCCTGCCAGTTTGATAGGCATTCTCTCTCCCTCCCTTCCTTCCTTCCTTCCTTCCTTCCTTCCTTCCTCCCTCCCTCCCTCCCTCCCTCCCTCCCTCCCTCCCTCCCTCCCTCTGTGGCAATGGCTTTGTAATAACCCAGGAACAAACACTGTGTCAAGGAAGGCTTTTGCGTTCAACAGCGGGATGCTGAGCTATGTAGTCAATTGTTAGATCATGGACTTGAAGTTCAGAGGTATTTTACAGATCCAATGTTCTCTATGACTGCTTTACATTATTCAGTGGTCCTCAACCTGGGGTCTCCAGATATTTTTGGCCTTCAACTCCCAGAAATCCTAACGGCTGGTAAAATGGCTGGGATTTCTGGGAGTTGTAGGCCAAAGACATCTGGGGACCCGAGGTTGAGAACCACTGCATTATATGAAACAGAAGAGTGTCAGGAAAGGGGGAAATTATTCTCTCATACAGGAGCTTGCTCAACACCCCCAGAATAAGGATCTGGAAGGACTTGTGTTCATATTAAATTACTGTCTTCTGTAGCCCAGCTGTAGATAAATGACGAAAGCCAATAAAATGTGGCACTGCACTTAGTCTCTTTAGTATTATCTATGATTTAATGGCTCCCAATGACATTTGACCTTTCTTTATTCAATTTGGGTTAAAAATCCAAGATTACAAACAATTATAAAGATGGAGCAATGCAATGTATTGCTCCAAGATATGAAATACAATGTTGGTTGGAGACAGCATGTATTCATAACGGTATTAACTACAGAAAAAGATATCAAATGGCCCTAAACAAGACTTCTTTTTCTTAAAGTAAAATAAATGAGTCATAATAAGTGCTACAAGACACTCAAGCCATGGTATTTGGATATCTTAATTGGACACTTGTGTTGCAACATCTTCATTTGGTTTTGTCCGGAGTCAGTCTGGAAGGACTAGCATGAAAGAATGTTATATATTGTGCTTTTATTCCTACTGTTATGTCCATCCATTGCTTCTGATGCAATTGAAATACTCAAGAGTTTAAGAGCTGGTCTCAATTCTGTTGACATCATGCTGGGTTTGGTGGATGTGAAAAAAGTGAAGGAAGATAGCATTAAAATGTTTTCAGATTGCCATATTCCATTATGCTGAAAACCCCAAAGATATACACTACATCATGCAATGGTGTAATGTTATGGGATACAGCATAACCCAGGCATGGGCAAACTTGGGTCCTCCAGGTGTT